TGAATTTACTTCCATAGTCTTTCCCATGTCTAAATATGGCCACATGGTAACAGAGGTTTAAAATAAGGGTTTTCCTTCTCCTAGATAGACTGCTTTCCCAGGCTGATGAGCTCCATTTGCCCATCTCCAGTTTGGAACTGAGTAGTTGTCAGAGGCTGGCTTGAGACACAAGCCATGAGAGCATTTTATAGATAGTGGAAGCTTGTCCCAAATACCACCGCAGCTCTGACAACCTTTGGAACATGCATAATGTACATATATAAACATTACATACTTTATGTATTTTAGAACCTCCCACAAAATGTTTTTAAATATATATATATATATATATATATATTATAAAGATGTAATCATACAAAGAATTAATCAGTAAAGTTCATGTAATTAATGATGAAATCTCTTTGCTAACAAATTTAATAAAGCATTAACCAACTAACCATTCATTGAATGGTGCAATCCTTATGTTTAAAATTATAAGATGGATTTGATGTTCTGGTGCTAGTACTTACAAACATTTTCACATCTTCATCATCAGGCTTTAATATATTTCCATTTTAGATAAACTCTAAGACAAAATAAATGTATTGTAGACCAAAAGATGTTTTTTAATAATGTGTTATTTATTAACAGTTGCATAATTTTGTAACATGCAGTATCACAATGCTAAAGTTATATTTTAAATATTTCAAGTGAGAATATTTTTTTTAATATAGTAATGTGGTAAATCCATGAATTTTTATTTTTGTTGTAAGTGTTTTTCAGTTAATGTGAAATGGACAAAATGGACCAATTATTAGAGTAATGTCTTAGTAGTTTTTCCAGAATTTTGTACTGTGGATCAGTTTTTCATACATATATTAAATAAATCCATCTTACAATTTTAAACATAAATATTGCATCATTCAAAAAATGGTTAGTTGGTTAATGCTTTATTGAATTTGTTAGTGAATAGATTTCAACATTAATTACATTAACTTTACTGATTAATTTTGTATGATTACCTCTTTATAATATAATATATATACTACACTATTAAAAAATATATATATATATATATATATATATATATATATATATATATATATATATATATATATATATATATATATATATATATATATATATAAAAAAAAAAAACACTACAAGACAAGACAAATTTCAAAAGAGTTGTATATAAATGAACAAACACAAATATCAAAAACTTTGATAAAATATAAATCAGGTTTTTAGCCTAAAATACTCAGATTATTCATAACATTAAACATAATCTATACTAGCTTGTTGACGGTACTAACACCTAAACAATTGATAAAAAATGAATGGGAGTAGAAATGGTAAAGTTGATAAATAGGATAACTTTATGTAAGCAAAAACAGGAAGTAAAAATAAAAGAAATGATCTTCAGGTTAGTTGTACAAAAACAAATAAATAGAGAAAAAATGTGGTATCCATGGAAAAAAAACTGAAAAAACAATAATAATTAATATATATAAATGCAAATAAATATAATAATCATAATATATATACTGATAGATAGGTAGATATAGATTTATTTTCCCCATATTAATCTCCTTCCTTGTCAGTGCACTTAATTCACTGGCAAATATTAAGAAAGGAAAATTTCAGATCAGAATCTGGCTAATAGTTACATGTCAAGCTATGAACTTATTGATACATCCTTGTAAAATGATAGAAAGGCTTATTGAATCTTTTGAAGGGTTATTTTTTTTATGGTGATAAAACACTTGAATAATTGTTGTTTTGTATTTTAATTTCAAAAGTGATTTGATTTAATACTTCAAGAAGGTGACAATTGCATTCCAAAATCCAAATGGATTCAAATAAAATCAAGCAAATATTGAGCTAACAAGTTTGAAAAATACTACAAAGAAAATAATTTAAAACAGAACACAAAAAAATTACTATTTCATAAAAGCAAAATTGTTCTCCTCAAGCTTTTAATCCATTTCTTTTTTTATTAATTCTCCTGGAAGAGAATATCCCATTTGTTTTAAGAGCTCTTGATTCTCACTTGTCATGCAATCAAAATTTAACTTCAAACAAACTATATATATAAAAAAAATTATAATTGAAAAGAAATTTTCTTATAATGAGTAATTTTCCTTGTAAAAGCATAGTTGTTGTATAAACATGCAATTTAACCAAATTCTACTACATTTCATTAATTGGTTGTGACAAAACAGGTTTATATTAATTTATAGCACCCTCCCAAGAGGATGCTTTCCAAATCACTTAACCTCCAGAATCTATCCTACATGTCCTCATAATATGCCCTTCTTATGTTTATGTCCTTAAACAACCTAATTCAGTAACCCTCTAACTTGGACCTTCCATTAGGAGAATAGTAATATGAAAAAAGTATTTTTGATGTTTCAGATATCTGATTAATAATATAAAAATTTGAAAATCTAGTAAAATTGACAAACATATTGTCATGTCATAAGAGTGACATATAGCTATCTTCCGTCTTCTCAATTTCTGTTCTTTTCTCTCTTGAATAATGTTTTTCCTCATATTCTTTCACACTCAATAACCACTTATGTCTTAGTGGCTTTGTAGCCTTGCTTTGGGTGAGATGATTAAAAAACAAACCGTAATTTGTACATATTATATGAAATATTCTGAGCATCAATCCTTTCAAGAGTTTTTTTAATAATTCATGAAAATTTAAAAGTTGCTACTAAGATGAAGCAGTGTCTCTTCATGTGTGAATCATGTCAGAATGTGGAATCATCAGACCAAGTTCAAATTCCAAGCTCATCTGTTGATTTCTCTTTCATACATGTACCTTATGGGAAGGCATGAATCTGTTTGTTCTCCTCCTATCTATGGATCAAATAGCAGAGTTGACAAATAAACTTAATTCCTTTTTATCCTCTTTACTGTAAGTAGAAGTTCCAGATTATTCTAAACATCTTTCCCAAATAGGTCTAGTTTTTTCTAACAGTTCAAATAGATTTTTGTACCATATCAAAGTAATCTATAAAACGTAAAGTGTACATTGTTCTGTGTTGTCTTGCTCCCTCCAATATTCTAGTCATAAATATTACCTTTCTTGTTCTAGTGTTCTTGATGGAAGACTACTTTTGTCCTTTGCTTTGCACTGTATTTATCAGGATTTGGATTATCACCTTGGTTATTTTGACTCATTAGGCTGATTGATTGTCTGTTGTTTATTTTAATTATTACTTCAGTGAATTGCAATAATTCCAAAGTGTCATTTAATATTTCTGCCCCTATATTTCCATAATTCTTTAAATTCATTCCAAAGTTTTTTATCTTTTGGCATTTGACTTTTAATGTAAACCTTTTTTCACAAATAATAATCTTTGCACTTTTTTAAGGGAATCCATTTAGTGTTCTGTATTTCTTTGGAATCGTTTTTTGTCTTTTTTTCAAACTCTCAAAAAATTCATGGAATTTTTATTCAGATGTTCGACTAACATCTTCATAAATGTATAATTTGTTCAATAATTTTATTTATCTTAAATGAGTTATAATGTATAAATCCTGTTCTTCTCTCTAGCTATGTGTAAATAGCAGAACAGACCGGGTTCTATAGCCTTGGATGGCAACTGGTCCCCCCTCATAGTGGATTCTATGATTCAGTCTGTCTATGTCGGACGACCGTTAGTCAGTCCACGATAGATTTCTCTCGTCATTACCAACATTTTGTATGTTGAACCTATTTTAGGACCGACTTAGTACAAATACAAGCCTCCACTGTGAAACTAATTCACAACAAAATGGCAACCTAATGCAGGAAAAAATCTGCCTCGTCAGTCATGTATCAAAAGTGTGTATCACACATTACACATAAATGACTGATACATCTCCTTGCAACTTGAGTCATTCATAAGTCTTTCATATTGCAATTTAGGCATTACTCTGATCTTGTTTAGTTTCCCTAATTTTACTCTGAGGTAGCATATAACTGGGGTATGTTCGATTACTGTAAAACTGTATTTCTAAATATTCAGCTTGGTTCTTTGTGTTTCTCCTCGTCTTCTCTATGTCCCTAAGCATGTTGAGTGCTGCTGAAACTAGGTATTGGTAACTATGTGATCAATTATTGTACACAATTGGACCCAATTCAAAGTCAAACTTTCAAGAATCATTCTTGATTTTATTTTACCTGGGACATGAGCTGTAAAAGTTTTCAATTTCTTTCTCCATGCTGTTGGTGCTTATAATAATATTTAACAATAATAAATGTTAAAAGGATGACAATCTGTCCAAGAATTGACAGTATCTCAGAACAGTTTTTATTTTACTCGCTATTTGCATGTGTGACCCTGTGTGTGTTACTCACAAAATCCCAGTTACTTGCACATTTAGTTTCACATATTCCAAGAATGTTGACATTTAATTTATTCATTTCTTGATTGATATTTTCAAACTGGACACATTGCTATAACATCCTTAAAATCTATGTCCCTATTACTAATTTTTGTTTATTGGTTGTTGTTACCAGGCACCACACCCATTATTCTTTATTTTAGTGAACAATTATTGAAGAGGGCTGATGTCTTCCCTTAAGAGATTAGGAGTTATGTGCAGTAGAATAAAACCCTTTCACACTGTTCTTATTTTCTTATAGCAATTTTGCTTGGGATGGAAAGGGACCTCTGTCCATCTCCCTACTGATGGAGGTTTATTGAAAGAACAACGTGTACACCCAGGCTAAGAACAAAAATTGCCCAAGCCCCTGCAACTATTGGTTGTGCACACCCCAAAGACAGAATATTATTTTCCACATTTGCACCTCTGTCCTCTGATGGAGGCACCAAAGACAGAGATGCACTCTGAAGACGCATCTGAAAGAGGATAAACCCTACCTGACATGTGCCAGGTAAATATAGCCAGGTAGGCTAAATATTACTAACAGAATAACAATATTATAGTCATGATGTAAATACACAGCATATGATTTTGCTATCATTAAAATATTGTTAATAATTTTACAAACAAAATAGAGCTTACGGCCACATCATGTTGAAACACCAGTTCCTGTACAATCACTGACGTTAAGCAACATGATGTTTGGTCAGTACCTAGATGGGTGACCACTTGGGAATACCAGGTTGGATGTGCGGGTGGTGTAATGGAAATGGCTAGAAATTGTAAATCAGAAATGTTAATTCCCATTGAGTTTGTTATATTCAACACAAATATCCTATAGGTTAAATAGTAAGACTTGTATCACTAACTCTAAAAAAACAAAAAATTATTACAATATAAAAAAAATATTTTCTGGCTTTAAATAACCTGCAAAGGGATGATAAGCTGTAGAAAACAAATCAGTCATTCAAGCAATAACAAAATACATTGAAAATCAAATAAAAATAGCATTAGTAAAATAATAAAATGTGCCATCTCAAAGATATTCATTTGAAATATCTATACTAATATTGGAGACCTTTGTGTATGTGTGTTTGTGCTACAATTATACTCAAAGGACAAGGCCTATTGATCAAATTTTTGACATGAAGATTCATAAGACATCCATTTCAGCTGTCCACTCTTGTATACAAAACTTGCCTATCTGTCAAGTAGCTTCTTCCGCATGTCATCAAAGGAACTATCCAAACTTGGTTATTCAAAAAGAGGACGGCTTCATTCAAACAGATTTGCTCTTTGATTTCAACTGTTTCCAATTCCTCGTGGCACTCAGCTTTGCTGTGACCATCAACAAACTCAAGGAAAATCTCCCAAGAGAATTGGCCTCTGACTGTGCCAGTTGTTCATGGATTGGATCCCCAAGCAATGTTTTCATACTGACTCCCACTGGGAGAAGCACTAATATTGTGTATCCAGAAGTACATGACGCTTTCTTAACTTGCTCTGTCTTTAAAAAGAGCCAGATTAGAAAGCCAAAATAGAGTATTGCTGCCACATATGAGTTGGAGCTGCACAATCCTCGCTTTCTAGCATTGACAAAGTTGAAATGTTTACATCACCTTGAGGGTAATAACTTGTTTTTCAGCTACAACCATTTTCCTACACATATGAAAATGCCTCTCACTACTCTATCACTATTTCAATTGCAGATTTGCATGCAAACTATATTTCTAGGTTTCACCAGTTCAGACCTTCACAGCTAGGACATACTATGTCATATACATATAGTCATTCCGTTCATGTCTTGTTGGTAAGGGGAGAGTTTCATTCTGACAGCCTCTTCCCCAGAACTGTTGCACTGTGGAATGTCTATTGCATCTCCAATAAATATAATCCTAACTTTTTCAAGTCTAGGGTCAACTGTTATCTATTCTACATATCCTCATAATATACACTTTCTCCCTTACTACTGCATTTAGTAACACTCTACCTTGTTTTGTGCATTAGAATATTTTTTTTTAGTATGTAATTCTTACCCATGTGTAAATAGTCGTATAAACACTTTATGTTTGTTATGTTGTGTAAGAAGGAAGAGTTTAAAGGACTTTTTTTCTCCTGTTATGAAATATCATTTGAGATGTTCACCAACCATTCCAAGAGATTCTGAGAAACACCCAAGTGAATGTTTTCTAAGCATTTAATGACAATCCATTCTGTTATTATTTATGCAAAATCTATGAGTTAAACAGAAGATAATAACAAGGATAAATGCATTTTTATCTTTGCAACATCAGGATTCTTGATTTAGCACTCATAGGAATTTTGAGACATTAGCTAAATTCTATACATGTATGAATTTACTTTTCTTTAACAGGCATTGAATATTTTCTCTTCAAGAGACACTGTGTTTTTTCTTTCAAGAAGCACAGAGCATTCTTTCTTCAAGAAACACTTGACATTTTTGTTGAAGAGTTATTGAATATGTGTTTTCAAGAGGCATTTGATATTTTTCAAGAAGCATTGGATATTTTTTTTTTCCAGAAGTCACTGGATATTTTGTCATTAATATGAATTGTATTAATACATAAAGCTTTATAATTTGAGAGTGGAGATGGTATGTGCTTATTTTATTACCACACCTCCCCTACTCTTATTGCCTCCATTTTTATTACAACACAAATCATCATTCTATAACTATTAGCAAACAGTACAGATTGAAATTAAAGAAAAGCTCCAAGTAAGACTTGAACTCTTATCTCTTTTTCCTCAATCATCCAACATCTGCTCTATGACATCAGCCACAAAAACCAACAATGCAAAATATCAAATATAATCCTATAGACTAATGTATTATGAATATATATTGAATGAATACATGCTAAATGACACTGGAAAGAGGTGCCTATTATCATGTTTGGCCTCTACTAGTCCATCAAATTCTGCAATCATTTAGTGCTTCTGATGCTGATTAGAATTTATAAAATCTTTCTATTGAAACGGCAGCCCATTATAAAGCCAACTCAATCCTTGGATATTTGTGGAGTCTGAACAATTCTTTTGACTGCAATTGGTTGATTGGCTAAAATTAGGTCATGAACACAAACAACAGTCTTTCTGCAGTTGACACTAGAGTCTTCCAAGACCATGCTGCATCTTGGTAAAGGTAATATTGACTGATTCTTTATAAGGAAACATTTGGCATTCATTGACTAAGAAACCAGTACTACTTTCTGGCTGAAATTTATACAGTCTTTCTATTAAAACAATTTTTTAGGAAAATCACTCAGATAAGTGTTATAGATTATACCCACTTGGGCCAGCATGTCTCTTTTGATTCATGATTACACAGAATATTTTTCTGCAGTAGGTTGCCATTTCCCTCTGCGATAGGCTCGACACTCAGATAGCAACAAAAACCTTGGTAGACAGATCCCAGCAGTAGTATTATGTGACAACTACACATAGATTGTGTCAGAAATTTCATTCAGGAGATAAAAGCCTTAAAAATGAACCAATAAGATGACCTAATTCAGTCAGAACAATGATCAATTAAATGCATTGGTTTGAGAAAATCCTAAAATCATGTTAGAAAACTTTTAGAAGACCTTTGAATATATCACACATCTGTCCCTTGGCATTTAAAATGTATTGAAAAAGTAGAGAAGGTGGATAAGTTTATCCCACATGAATTGACTGAGAAACAAAGAAACCAATACTTAGAGATCTCAATCATGCTCTCTCAACATGAAAGTGAATCATTACTTTCAACAACAAATGGATATTCTTTGATAACTGTAAGCAAACAGCATTGATTAGATGTAGATTAGTCTCTGAAAAGTCACCCAAAACCACTTCTACATTCAAAAAAGATTATTGTGTGGTGGTCAGCCAAATGCTTCATTCATTATTTGATTTTGAAACAAGATAAATCAATTACAGTCAACTCATACTGTAACAAAATTGTATGCATGAAAAATTAAAAAAGAAATATCCTTGACTAGCAATGACATGATTCTGCTTCATGACAATGTATGTCCTCACTCTTTATGGTGAACCATTCAAAACTTGCACTGCTTCGATTATGAGATTTTGGAGTATCCTCCTTATTCACCTGATGTTTCCCTTGCAGATTATCAATTATTTAAACACAATATGTCTGTTGCCTTAAAGAAAATTTGCTACCTAAATATATATGTGTGTGTGTGTGTTTGTGTGTGCAAATATATATAAAAATAGGAAAGAACACATTAGGTTAATGATCCAAAGTTCTTTAGTATTTTTGTTTTTATTTTTAAAAAACAGTGCTCAATACATAAGTAGAGCCTAAATTACAATATATATATATATATATATATATATATATATATATATATATACATAGATAGATAGATAGATAGATAGATAGATAATATTAGTGGTAAATATACACATTCATATGCAATCATATATCTAAAATATATAAATATATATACATACATACATACACATACATATATATTTGTATAAAAAATAATTCCAAGAGGATAGAATCCAGGTAGAACTCAATGTCCAGGACAGAGTAAGGATATAATAAAAGGCTTAAACACTAAATATTCCATGGTCATAATTTATTCCATTGTAATCATAAATATGATCCAATTCATCAGACCTACAAATTCAAAATTTGAATTTGTAGGTCTGATGAATTGATCGTATTTACGATTCCAATGGAATAAATTATGACTATGGAATATTAGTGTTTAAGCCTTTTTTTATTATATATATATATATTATATATATATATATATATATATATATATATATATATAATAGATGTGTGTGTTTAGGTGTGCATGAGAGAAGGATATATAAGACATAATATTTTATATTTTTAATTTTGCACATGCACAGTGTTTTTGATTTTGTTGACTGCACAGTAAAGTCAGTTGGGCACCATCTGCATGAAAATGTGCACCATGGTGTAATTCATTCTGACAAAAATTTGAAAACATATACTGTATTGTTTGGCATTCATACTGGAAGCTCAAATATGAACATTCCATCCAGAGTGTTTGGGTGTCACTCTGAGGACAGTACACAGCATTTGGAATGAGTTGCATGTGTTTAATAGCAATTACGATGGTATGACATCTAAGAAAACTCACTCTGATCATTCTCATAAGAAAAGAACTCCCAAATTTGTTAGTGAGGGCCTCAGACTCAACACATAGGCCTACATCAAGTGCCTTAAGTAGGTGTTGCTGCCCTGTGTCAAGAGGCTGGCTGCTGGAAGATCTTATATCTGGTAACAGGACTCTGCAGCATGTCACACAAGCAGGAGAACCCAGTAATTGCTGTCAGTCAATTTCTGCAACCACATCATCCCTTACATCTGACCACCTAACTCCCCAGACTGCAATCCCCTTGCTTATTATTTGTGGGGTGCAGTTAAGCAAGAAATGAACAAAACTTCTTCTAACACCAAAGATGAACTGAAGGCAAGGATTATGACATCATTCACCAACTTAAACAAGGAGACTGTCCAGAAGAGTTGCAGGAGATTCTGAAGTCGTCTGGAGCCCTTGGTTGAAGCTAATGGCGATTTTATTAAATAGATTTACTCTTTCGTATTTCAAGATATTTTTGTGTAATTTTGGTAAATATATATGTTAAAGTGAGACGTCAGAGTTATTTTCATTATTGCATAATTTAGACGACAATTTATCCATCGTACCTATATATATATATATATATATATATATATATA